CCCCCCCCCCCCCCCAAGTTACAAAGCACTTCAGATTTCCAAAAAGGTAATGTTTTTTACAATCTGATCTACAGGTTTCTGTTCAGTAACAAAATAGGTCTGGTGTTCAATTTAATTCCTTGCAAGTCCAAAACCCACAGTAATAAAACTTAAAGAATAGTTAACATAACTAATCAGTAGTTAATTATTATAATGACATGCTACAAAAACCATTTGCTGAGCTTTGTCTTTCAGGACATCCAGTTCAGAGATTTTGTTCTTCAAGCATTAAATTTAAGCATGAAGACCCATAAATTAACACTACCCAAAAGAAATGAACTTCTTTTTCCGTATTTCCAACCTTTAAGTAAACTGGTAGATCTCTATCCAATTGGTCCAGAAAACAACACAATGAGACTTTCCTTCCAGGAGCCCGTCGAAATCTAAAACAAAACTGTGTGTCCCCAAGACAACCTACATAGGGGGAAGAGATAAACAACAGATAGACAGTATTCTGAGTTTGAGCCCTGTTTAACATGAGGACCTGTTTACAGCCAAAGAGGTATAATAGTTTTGGTTCATTTCTCTTGCACTGCTATTGTTCCCTGCTATTGCAACCATTTATCTATTTATATTTTTATAAGTGAACAAAATTTGGCATCTTTGGCAATGATAAATATCCTACCTTCAACAAGAAAAAAAAGTCACTCTGCCTCACAGTGTGTTTATTAGACTGTCACGTCCTTAAACTGCTCTACTAATGGCTGTCCTCCTACTGTTATTACACATTTTATTGGTCTGCCTTTATAGTTCTAATCATCTTAACCACATGTAATTTCTCTGTTGAATGACTGCACTTAGCCTTTTTTTTTTTGACAGCAAACAATTCATACATAAGTCACACTGTAAGAGTGTGTTATGCTGATCTCTTAGAACTCCAAGTGCAGGCCTAGGACTTAGTATTTTTGAAAGTCACAAAACTAACTGCAGAAAAGTGAGTGAAACTGAGTACTGCTTCCCAGTAATACTCACAAGGAGTGACGCTTCCCTTCATTTCTATCAAAATTAATTTCTGAAAGAAAAATGTAACAAAGTATATTGACTATTTGCAGTCTGAAAATAAATTTAAGCTAAGTTTGTATCAGATATCAAAGAAACTGTCCAGGTGGAACATGAGAACTGCAGTATCAGAACTTGTATCACTGATACTCTCATGGCTGTGTTCTTGCTATCACAAATGTCTGCTGTGAAAAGAGAAATAGCTCCAAAAAATCTTTAGTTCTAGCATAAGCTATATAAGCTGAACAGAATGTGCTGTTCATGGGAACAGCAATAAGGGGGGCTGCTAGAATCTTAAGAACACGCAGGTACATTACTCATTCTAGCAAACCTGTAAAAAAAAAAGTCCCTTTGGAATACAGTGTTACTAACATGAACACAATCAGTGGAAAGACAACCTCCTGACCATTGCCAACCTGTGGTAGGCAGACTATCTTCACCATAACAATGTAAATGTTCATGTAAGCGACTACCAAAACCAACCTACTACTAAACTTATAGCTATTGTGACAGCAGCGTTGCCAGCTGGCAAAGGACACCCACTTCTCCATATTGAATCTAACTTCTTCATTAGTGCTTTGCTCTTACAGCTTTTGGACATAATTTGCAAAGACCTCCAGGGAAAAAAAAAAATCATGAAGTCACTACTGATCATCTGAACTCTTCACAGCTGTCCTGTCTTACATCAGCCAGTCCTAACTGACCAAAAGTATGGCAGAGCTCCATTCTCCAGATAACTATTCTTCAGACTTAAAAGCTCAATTTCATGTTCTTCTCTTTCAGTCACGTACCGACTGCTACAGCAATCACAGACAGCCCAAAACCTCAATCAAATTCACGGGCTGTGTAACTGGCAGTGTGGATTAATACTGGCATGTTCAGAGCCTTCAGGTTTGAGTCTTAGAACCCCCTGAAGTTGCAGCAGGAAACCCACAATGCACCAAGACAAAATCAAAAGTAGCAAAACATTGTATGATGGGATAACCGTCCAATTCAAACAGGTAACTAAAGCAAGTGCTTAGCAATATGGATACAATCATAAGAAAAAGCACAGCACAGGCCAATAACACAGCATTAAATATTTGCTCCAATTTTTCATAGCTAGTTCCCTTCATCCAAAGCAAAACCCACCCAACTGCTATTATAAAAAGCTAAACGCAGAAGACCTAAAAGTAAATTACCCTTAATCATCAATATGTTGAAATAAATTCCGAATATGACGGCTTCTTATTTAACAAGCTCTTCCAGCATGTAGAATTTGAAAAGATTGGTAAATGTCTATTCTTTCTTCAACTATCCATGCAGAAAAGGCAAACGAATTATTTTAAAGATAATTGTACTAGGAAACTTGACTTAAAAACACAAAAAATATCATGATCTAGTACCTGATTAAATCAATTTTTCACCCTAAATTCATAGCCACTACAAGTCCTAGAATTATATCTATTTGCAGTTGTAAAAGAAAAAAAAAGTTGAATTCATCTTTTGAGCCATGAAAACCTAGGAAAGACTGACCTCAAATTTAGCTGCAAGCTAATAGCTTCCTTCACTGCTCTATTACGCAAGCTTTTCCTTTTATGTTACAGCCTACAATGAAAAAATAAATTGTAACAGATAGCATATACTCTCAACTAATTTCTAGAACACAAGTTTTACATAGGTAATCCCTGTACATCATTTGAAACTTCAGCCTACCAAGAATGATCAAGAACCTACAGGTTCTTAAGAGAGACATTATAAAAAGCAAAAAGTTGAGATTTTTTTCGTGCTGAAAGTAAATCCTCTTTACGTATACCTATCCTGACTAAAATAACTATACTACCACTCTTACTTTAAAAAAAAAACAAAAACAAAACACAAAGAAAAAACCCAGCCTTTGTTCCTAACGCATTATTTTGTACCTTCAACACACCTTTTGAAGGTTGGACAGATTTATAACCATTAACAATGAGAGTAATAAGAAGACACAGTTAACTCTTCTCTTTCAATAATAGAAAGAAGCTTTTCCTCTATTTACATACAGGATATCAAGAAGAGACAAAATACCTTAATTTTAATGACATTAAGAGAAAGGGGAAAAATTAGCCAAGATATTTTGTAAAATTACATGAGAGAGCTCACACATATTAAAAGCACACATCTGCATCATCCCATATCAGAGCTGTTACCCTGCACAGCAACCAAAAGCACTGAGTAAGAGCAGTTATAGGGACAAGTCTGTTACTACAGGTTTTGACTTTTGTAAAGAAACAAATATGAAAGGAAGTGTTTGTACTTCTGCCATATCTTTTTGCAGGTGGTCCAAGTCATTAGCCACATGCCTCCAATTTTTCTTTGGCAGCAGAATAGTAAAAGTTTAGTCTAAAGAAGAATTTAGCAAGCAGGACCACACACAGCAACAGAAGCATCAAGAATAGAGAAAATATAAGATAGCCTAGGTTCTCCCTTCACAAGTGTTCTTTCTAAATGCTTTTGAATTTAAAAGTCAGTTTCACTGTTATGAATTTAGAAAATATACATTTACTTCTTTATGAGAAGAGGGTTCCATACCCCGCTCCATTTGCTTTATTAAATCCTTCAAATTCTGTGCCTACACACCTCTCTACAATGACAATATTATTTTCTTTAAAAGTGAGATTAAGATGTTTGTTCTTTACTTGCAAAGTATTCTGAAACGTCTCGTGTGCCATCTGGAAGGTCTTACACATTCACATCCCTGATATTTCACTTACATTAAATAAAAAAGAATTCTCAGACCTTACTGCAATACAGACAATTACAGTTTTATATTTAACCTAATTTGCAACTTTCCTGTATTGTAATATTAAGATATTCGTATAAGTATTTGATCTAAAACCCTGAATATATACTGTCAAATTCTATCTGTTTTAACATAGCTTAATCCAAGAACAGATGACTACAGAGTGAAGGAAGCACTTACCTGAATTAGAATCTGGAAAAGACAAATAGCAAATACTGGTTTTCTAAAGGGTAGGGAAAAGAAAAGAGATTATATTTCCTGAAATTACTAAACTAAAACCAAACAATATACTTATACAGCAACTGTGACTTACCTCTTTATCTGTGAGTTTTGAATGTGGAGGATATATTACCTACAGGAAAAAAGTATTATTTTCTTTGAAAATAAACCAGGTATAAGTAGTAAGCTTCTATTAAACATTTTTATGATACAACCCCCAAACACCTGCCTAGCCTTAGGCTATTTTCAATGGTAAGCTATTAATATTATGTCTTCTTATTTTTCATACGCTTTCAAGCGAACTTGATCACCCATCTTTACAAGGTATTTTGAATGCTAGTTGGAGACCATGAAGATACATTAAAAAATTCAGAGTACTTGAGATTTTTGGTACAACAGGTCTCAAAGGAGAGCAAGATAACATCCTTTAGATTTAACTTGTACATATGAAATGCAGTAGATGATTCCATAGAGAGCCAACAGCACACATTATTGTCTGAAATCTGTTGCAACAGATAGTTAGGTGGAAGTAATCAAAACTGTAATCACAAAACACCCTCTATATTAATACTAACTCTTGGAGGATGAACATTGACCCCAAATGAGAGCTGGGAACTGTGAAAGCTCAAGGAATACACTCAAAAAGCTTATTTATTTAGTATGTTTTACAACGCAGAAATAAAAAACAATGCAACACAATGGAAGATATGGAAGAAACATCATTTAAAAAAAAACCTGGACGTACAAAATCGGTGATTATGCAAGTGAGAAAAGAACATATAGGAAAGAAGACAAACCTCAGATACTTAAATTTCAGCTACAAAGTTCCACAAAAAAACCTCCAAAACTACTGAAATAGGTGGCTAGCTTGTAAGCAAAGGGAATTCAACATAAATTCAAAAATTATATTTCAAAGAAAGTTTCAGGGCTTCCATAGATGGGAACTTCTCTAAGAATAGAAGTTCAATACAGGAACACTAACTTAGTCTAGAGTCCTCATATTACCATACCATTAACATCCAGTTATCTAATTTAATCTTGTGTGACAAAATGTAAGCAAATGTATCTCCTGATAATATAACGATATCCTACTCTACAGAAGACAACAAATATATCCACTGGCTGGTCTCTGACTAAGCAGGCTTTCTGTCCCCTGGCCATAAAGTCTCCATTTCTTTTTCCCCCCTCAGTCTTTTATCCAACAACGTCCAGCCATACAACATACTATTAGTATAACTAAAGCTAAAAGTACATGAGTGGAACACCTGTATACCACATGTAGTAAACCTATCACTTTTTTCAACATCTTAACATTTTCCTATGCTATCTTACGCTAAGCAATACACTCAGATGTAATTCTTTCAGCAGTTGAATGGTGCCGAAATGATCTGCATCTAGTCAGATTGGAGTAGAGACCAGATTTGAATTCATACTCCTTTTCCTCACTAGCCAGTGTATCTTCCCAGAATTCCAACTGAAACTAAAAGCTAGTTATTCTTCCTGCAGCAAGATAACTGAAAAAACGTAGGCCTTGGTTATGCAGATATTTTAAGTTTAATTTTATGCGTCCATTCAATTAAAATTAATAAGACTGTTAACTGAGTTGTATGCAGACAGACCAGGCTACTCTGTGCTTCCTTCAGCCACTGAGTGCATTATCTGCTTAAGTCACAGGTTATAAAGAAATGCTTCTTTGTTGCTCACACCACCTTATAACATCAAGTGAATATAACTGAGATAATTATCACAGTATGCCAGTTTTTTATTTGCATTTCTCTTGCAGCCAACAATGCATATCAAAGATGTATTTTAAATATTCTACTAGCTAGCTTGATTGAATCGTAGGCCAGTCTGCCATACATTTGTGCTAGCACCACTTTAACAAAAAAACAAAAAAGAAAGAAAGAAAGAAAAAGACAAGACGTTTTTCCCTGCACACCGTTTGCTGCACAGTCATATGGTGAACAGGATGAAACAGGATATGAAATTGAACCAAACGATAGTTCTTCTTTCCAGTTTCTTTCTCATCCCAATCAGTTCCCCAGTGCAGTTCCATATGCAATTTCATAGATGTTTGCCTGTTGCACAAAACAGCAAAGTGCAGCAGGGAGTTAAAACCTGCAGTTTGTGGCAGCATCATTAACGCATCGTCACAGCTTGACGTTCATTTAATGGTGCAAGGAAAATGCCTGAAATATTTAGAGAATTTATTTGCATGCCTCAGCAATCTGGAGAAAATTATTAATTATACAAACGACTTGCATTCACATTATTGTTACAATTTTTAAAAATTTTTAACATGTAGATGCCATGGAAATTAGTGCTATTCGTATATAAAGCAAGCCGACGATGTATTTAATACAAATCTTGGCACGAAGTGAAAACCATTCACAATAGCACACCGACATGCCGATCAGCCTAATGAAAATATTTGCTTGAAAATAATTAAACTCACCTGACGCTCCGTGACAGCTGTCGCCGGCACAGGCTTTCCCACAAAACACTCCCTCCCGCTCTCTCGGCACGCCGCGTCAGACCTCGCTGAAGCACGCTCCCTCCCCTCAGTCGCTTTTTGGGATTTTGCACAATCACGTTTCTCTCAAAACACCGCCGAGCTTCCCCCGCTGCTGTGCAACACCGGCACCAGAGGAAGTGCCC